CTGAATGAGGCCGCCTTTGCTCTCCAAGAGGCTGTCGACAGCTACGCGACTCCGAAGTAATTGCGACGCCTCGTCATGTTATTGGTGCGCAGCCACTTTCCGGTGGCAACCGCTTTCTACCAGTTTTACACAAATAATAAATATGATTGAAGAATCTTGGAAACAAGAACATTCCAACGTCATCGCCCAAACACTGCAACTGCAGCGGGACCTTCAGCGCCGATTGGTCACGGAAGGATGTAGGCACCTCAGCCATCTCGGGATCAACGTCCCCGAAGGCTTCGACTTGACCAATTCCGACTTACAACGCGAACGGTCGAGGCAATTTCTCAATCAAAAGCAAGCGGACATCGACACCGTGTCGTCGGCACTTCACATGTTCACGACCGAGCAGCGATTCATATTCGAAAAGATCCTCGACGCATGCAGGACCGGGAAGGACGCCCTGTTCGACATTCGCGGGCGTGCCGGTTGTGGCAAAACCGTCTTGCTTAACGCTATTGGCGCTCAAACCCGTTTGGACGGGCTTCTCACGGCACCTTCGGCATCCACCGGCTTTGCAGCGCTCAACCAGACTTTCGGCCTCACTTTCCACAGGACGTTCGATGTACCCGTTCCAGATCCTCGTGACGACACTGTCTTGCAATCGAAACTCAAAACCGGCAAGCGTGCAGAACTCATGGCCAACACTCGGATGTGTACCATTGATGAAATATCGTCATTACATGTCGCCGCCTTCGAAGCCGCCGCCAGGGTCGACCTTCTGCAACATGTGACGTCATCAACCCGTTATGAAATTTAATTTAAACCAGGACCTGCCTCTACACACTACGAGATCGACGGTGAGGTTTCCCGCGTGTTAGAGACGCCTTTTTATTTTTGTTCTTTCTTGCCACGACATCGACTTTCATGGAACGATTCATAACAACTGGCATATCGTCCATGCCGACAACGTCCGCTGCACAAGCTTTCCAAGATACTTACGAAGGCCTCTACGACGAAGAAATGTTTTCGAGCCAAACACGACATCTTTTCGAAATTGAGTACTTCAATGTCACACTTGACAATAAAATTTCCTATTTTTATCCGTTGGAATAATTTCTTGCCTTCTAGACTTCTCTCTCTCCATTACACCGTTAACGTTATCTGATTTTCGTCCTTTTTCCAACTACTGCATGTGATTCACCCCGGATGCCGCCATACGTTTTCCTGCTCTTTCGCATGTTCCTTTATCTCGACCCCCTCGCATTCATCCCACTTTGCTGCTATACTACGCCAATCAGACGCCTCCCCCGGAAACCAACACCTCCACCCTGGGGAAACGGCTGTGACAACCGACGGACCCTGTTCCACATCTGGTGAGAACCTGTTTAACCTGTACAATACCAACAATCTTTGTCGTCCCCGACTCCCCTTCCTCTCCTTTCGAATGACCAGCTTCGTATCCACATTGCTCGTAGACAGAGTTGATGTCATCAATTTTATTTTTTTTCGAATGATCCTGAAATCCTGCATAATGACTGTGTTCAAACCGACCTATCATCTTCTTACCTAGATGCTTTTTCTTCATTGAAGGCGCTTTCCACAGGGGACTTTTCTGTTCGCTTTCTTTTTGTACCTGCTCGTAGGGTTCGTTGTGTTGTATTATATGTTCGTGTGCCTGTCCTTACTATTACTACAACAACTACTATATTAAAGTTAGACCCCGTTGATGTTACACATTGCCTGTAGACAGGATTGATTGAAGCGATGTTCTTTGATTTTGTTTGGTAATTTTCACACAACGAGACTACTCAACGAGGTTTCCTCCCGTGGAAACGTTCGGCCCCACCTAACAGCCTACGATCCATCTTCAAGACATTAAATGTTCTGTTTCTCTGATTCTAAAAATTTCACGACTCCGAGTTTCAACCTTGACCCTGCTCGCGAAGCTAAATATGGTGGCCGCCCGCCCTACTGGGGGGCGGGGGGCCAATCGTTCCCCCTAGTACGGAATACTCGGCCTTCCCAATTCGAGTGTCCTGGGGGGCAGTGCAAATTCCGACTTGTTCGTCGTTGGTCGTGCGGTCGCAAATACGATCAAGTTGCACAGCGACGCACTGCCGCGTCGTGGCAGCGATTCACTGGATGAGTGGGAAAATACCTTGTCAGCCCGCAGAAAATGGATGGTCTTTGGGCATTGACGACGAGATGCAATGTTTGTTGTGTACAGCAGTAGTCCGCCTCAAATATATATTGTTAGAACAGGAAAGTATGTATTCATCTGATGGCGAGCCGACAGCAGCTCACACGAGCGCCTCCTTGCTCCAGTGCAGAAGGATGTCGTCAACCCGCACATGGCAGGCTTGTTGTGGTTGTCACAGGTATTCGAACGACTGGGGCGCAACACGTATGTCAAACGACTAACGGAAGAGGGATGTACAACTTCAAACATTGGACCGAGGCCGATGGAAAGTCGGCAGCATGGTCATCGGGTGATCGATCCATTTCACATGGGATTGCAACCCAACAATGTCGTGCATGTTCGCACTTTCCACCTGGACTGAGTTTAACCGCTATCACCACTTGAGAAGACGATGGTACGCCATTTTGTCGCACAATTACGTATGGTGGCGACAAGGGTTCGCTCGTTGCGCGGCGAAAAAGAAATCGACCCCACGTGCGTCCAATCTAAAATTAAGTCCAATGCCAAGCGGCATCCTGTGCCTGACCCCAAGGCATACTGGTCAGAGTTACACTAAACGGCTATGATCCGCTCACCCCTCTGAAACCGGGAAGCGACCACCATGGATATATCCAGACACATATCCATCGATGCTCACTGTCGTGGCAGCAGCCTTTTTGTGGGCATGTTGCTCCTTGCAGATGAGTGGGTGTGATATATCTGTCACATTCTCGGGGCCCGTGGAGCGGCTCATGAGTCCCCGTCATCCATTACTATCTGCGAATTACCCTGTATGCGAAAGATTGTCTGACGAAGTAAGGGAAATCTTCGTTTTGTGAGAAGCGGCAGAAATAAACCTTGGCCAATCAGAAAGCAGGAAGCGGACGAGCGTGTTGGTGTTCTGTTTTCAGTCTACTCGCTTCGCCGTGTTTACCGGGGGCGAGCGAGAGCACGTGTGCGTGTGGTGGCCAAGGGTTGTGTTCTTCTGTGACGTTTCGCTGCTCCTGGGTCGGACGCTGATCGCCAGCGTCGCTTCGCAAAAGCGGAATTCGAGAGTACCGCTTCTGCTTGGCGTGCGGGACGTTTGATGTGGGCGCTGCGTGGTAAGCGGGGAATTGACGTTCCCAACAAAGAGACCCTGCAAACGATGATGGGGGGGACCGTTACCGGCACCGACAAGACTTTGCAGCAGCTTCGGACCATGTCCGGACTGAACGTCCTCGACTTCTTTCCCGTTGGCAATTCCGGTGAGCTGTCAGTCCCGGACCACTTCGATTTGACCTGTGCTGCGATCGTTAACGTGTTGAAATTTGGTCTCTCTGCCACCTCCGCGGACAACGCTGCAGCTCTGGCACGCTTGCTGCCCATGGAGCAGGCCATGCGTTCGGCGCGGGGTACGCTGCGCATGCAAGCCCTCCGTCATATGGGCGAGGTTCAGGGGAGGGGGTCGCGGGGGACCTTCGCCGACCTCCCTAACGACGATTTTTGGGAATGGGCAAATGCGGTAATGTTGTGGATATTACCGATGCAGAATTTGCCGGTGCCGCCGGAGTCTTTCGAGCGCTTTGGCCCCCCGCCGGTTCCTCGGTTCGATGGCATCAACGGCTTCTCCATGTCCGGGAGCATTGCGCTACGGATGTTCGGGACTGTGGGTGGTGGAGGGTCTTCTGGATCGAGTGGGGGTAAGAGACGGCGGGGGGACTCCCGCTCCGCGGGTGGGGACTCCAAACGCCGGTCGAAAGTGTGTTTCGAATATCGCGACTCCCAAACATGCAGGTGGGGCGACTCCTGCGTGTTCCGCCATGCGACTGGGGGCGGCAAGGGTGGCGGCGGCGGTGGGGGTCG